TTTTTTTTTTTTTCTGTGTTGTAGTATGAACGCCTTCCATATCCATACAAGTCAAATTGTACGCAGAAAGCACTCCCTGGAATACCACGTTACGATAGAAACGGCTGCTTTACGCAGTGTCAAGCAAACAAAACCCTAGAGCTATGTGGGTGTAGAATGACCGGAGTACCTTGTAAGTATAATACGTCTGATCATGCAGCTAATCAAGTGGACTGAGGCAGAAATAAACAAGAAATATCGAGTTTGAAATTGGCGAAATTTTAAGAATATTTTAACAATAAACCCAGAGCTAAGATTTCGAAAATAATGTAATTTTCTGAGTTGAAAATTTGTAAATGCAATACGTACAATATCTATGTTTAATTTTAACTAAATGGTATAAAATTCCTCCTTTCTCTAAACGGCACCAGTACACCAGCTTACCCCCAAAACGACAAAAACAGCACTATCTGTATATTCGATGCTAACAACGTTTCTGCAAGGAGTTATGAGGGTCACATGGGGCTTTAAACTAAGAATGTTCATAAGAATACTTTCAGCCAAAACCGGCAGACAAATAAGAATATTCAGCCTGGCCAGAAACCCAATTTTTTTTAAAAGAAAAAAAGAGTGTACACGAATTATTTGTTCTTTTCTTTGCAGTGCCATCTAACTTACCTGTATGTACATTTCAACACGAATTCTGTAAGGAACAGAGTGAAGGTAAGTATTGCTGACAAAGTTGTCCTTGTTTCTCCCATCGAATCGAAAGGGGTTTTACCTGAGATCAGTTCTATAATACTTGAATTTTTTTTAAAAAGTAAATCCGTCCTGAACGGATTGAAAGGTTGATGTCTTCTCTTTCATTACAGAAAACCCAATAAATAGTTAGTGATCGTGATGAACAAGGGCAAACTTGAGAAACTTAGTAGAAATGATTTAAGTTGTGTTATGTGCGTGTACTTTTTCCTTATGGTTAGGGGTTAGGGCTAGTGCAGTCAAAATGCAAGAGGATTTAGATGAAATGGAGGCTAGCCGTTGTGGTCAATTTGTTGTAGTCGTTAAAAGGGCAGGGATCTTAGTTTTCCTGGGACTTTGTTTCAATTTTACAGAAGAGTTGTCACGCGAAAAAAACCTGTATTCCTTTTGCTTTCAAGTTCAAAAGTTATATCTTGTACATGTTACCAAGAAAGCTAACGTGCCATTAGATTTGACTTTCTCCTGGCAAAACCTAAAACCTTTTCGCATTGTGAAAAACACTGCCTCCGTAATTTCCTTTTAGCATGGCAGAACCCTTTTGAATGTTCTTGCGGAATTCCTTGCGAAGAGATCGAGTACATCGCTCAGGTGTCTTACTCTGAATTTCCGGATGACGGCGCAGCCAAGATCTTAAAACACAACCATGCTTATAACAAAAGTATGGAATACCAAAGGTAAAAGCATCTTTAATTAGCATTTAAGGGGCTAGCTTGAAAATGTCATTCATTCTTAGCTTAGTTTCTATCGGTGGAAGTTCTCAACTAAGTGTGGTAGATCCATGAGTGAACTTAACGTTGGCAGAACTGTTGGACTACCTGTTTTCACCCACCTGCTCGCTGACTGTCTGACTTGCATACTAACTGACTGACCGAACCAAGCGATTGTCTGACTGACTGACTGACTGACTGACTATGTTATTATCTGACAATAAACATTATTATCTGACAATAAAATCAGTTTCTTAAACCTTCACCACAGAGTCACCCATGCCATTATGAATCAATCTTTTTTCGGGCATATTTCTAGTAGTTAGAATGAAATGTTTGAGATCTCGACGTATCTAACACCATGTTTGACGTACTGTATCTTTCAGGGGTAGCTTGGTATTCCTTCAAGTTGGCTTTCATCATTACGGATACACTTTTGTGAAAGAAACACCAAGTTATAGAATTGGGAGCTTGTTAGGTAACAACTGGGCTGACCTTTTGCCGCCTCAAAACTGTTTTGTTGTTAGCAAAACTGAAACAAAATACCTTGAAAGGGAGGGGAACGACAGAAAAGTTCAGGAGGACTGGGTTCTAGTGATCTTAAGGTAGCCCTTTAAAGACCTGGTGAAAGAAAAAAAATAAAAAGATAATTTCAGCCACACCCACAGAACGACATCCCGGTAAATTATAAGTACTCTATTCAAAATTTGTCTAAACTTGAATGCATGGTCTAAACCTCTGTAATCATTGTCATAAAGCCATGAAAGACGATGAACTACTGCAAAAACGCCTTGAATGATCGTGGGGTTAAAATGTTCTTACTTTGGTCCCTCTTTGTAATTTCTTGTACATTTTTCTGCCTGAATACTATTTACAATTAGCCAAACTTAGGTCACTCCATAATTTGACAGTGGACATCCTCCCTGTTTCAGGTGATATTGGCGGGAATATGGGTCTTTTCTTGGGCTGCAGTCTGTTGACATTGTTCGAGTTCGTGGATTTACTTTGGAACGTCTTAGACTCCCGAACAAACAGATCTAAAAGTATCCCAGATGATCAGACGGACAATGGATCAGCATAAGACAACAAACATGCAAAAAAAGTATCAACAGCCCTTGGAATTTGTGGAAGATCAACATCCAAAAAAATCTCATTATCATCTAAATTCCCCCCCAAGGAAAGTCTGAGAATAGATTAGTGGGCATTCTCAGTGCTTAGTCCGTATTTCTTCGAGACATAAGGAAAGTCTGGGAGTAGATCAGAGTGGACAGTCTCAGTATTTCTTGAAGATAACAGCTTTTCGACGATCTTTGTGAAGAACAATTGAGAATTAGATAGGTCTGGAACAAAGTACGACTCTGAAAATGGCGTTTGAGCTGGTCATGGCCAGTCTGAAAGAAAACTGATTCTCCATGCAGATCCATTAATTTCTGGAGGAGCGAGAAAAAGCCTGCGTGGATACTTTTTACAAGCTTTCTTCACAGAAGCCTTGAGACTTCATGGTTAGTGCGCTCGACCCCGGAGCGAGCGGTCTGGGTTCGAGCCCTGGCCGAGGACATTGTGTTGTGTTCTTGGCCAAGACACTTTTCTTTCACAGTGCCTTTCGCCACGCAACTGTGTAAATGGTTACTGGCAAATTTAATGCCAGGGGGTAACCCTGGATGAACTATCATCCCATCCAGGGGGGAGTAGAAATACTCCTGGTGGCTTCATGCTACTGAAGCCGGGATAAGCTCCGGCCTGATCAGCCACTTGGTTCGTATGCAGACTTTACCCCCTTATAGACAATATAAATATGACCGGGTACCGAGTTTTATATATAAAAAGAAAAACAAAGGTGTAAAATAATCTATTACTTATCTTGTTCAAAGCATGATACATGTGTCTTGAAAACAAGTTACATGTAATTCGTCGTTGTAATGTCCAATGGTATATAATAAAGCGTCCCACTCATGAATATACATTACTTAACTCACCTCATCATGATTCATGATGGCTTGCCTAGCATCTTCGTCCCTCAAAACAAAGATATCTTACAATTTGCACTGAGATAAAATTGAAACGTCCTTCGTGAATAATTCTTCACATTGAGTAGGTCGCCCTTGGCCCAATCATTAAATATCACGTAATCAGTATTCACAGCTTTACTCCCCGTAAGATTTTAAAAAGAAATAAGTGCTGTCGAAAATGAAGTAATCTTTGAGTTTGGGCTCGGTCTTTTGTGGTATTATAGCTAAGTAAACTTACTCAGCAACCACAACTGAACACAGTGCACGTATTTTCAGGTCATATTCTCTTGCTTATACCAAGAGGAGATGAAGGGTAAAATAGTTATTCTCCAATAGAGGTCTTATTCCTAAAGTAATCCATCTCAAGTTATTTTTGGATCACTCCCGGCGTTAGAAATCCTAGAACGGTCTAGAAACAGCTTATCCTGGGACTTGAGTTTTACTTGTGGACAGCTCAATTTGCAGGTAATTTATCCTCCACGAAAACATCTAAGCAACGCGCACGGTGAATTTATCAGCGGGAGGACTGGATACCATATCTAAAAATAACTTTAGAGGGATCAGCTTGAGAATAATATGCATACATGGGAAATCAACTCGCTTACCCTTCATCCTCTCTTACTCCATTAACCAAACTTACAACTTACAGTGCTCATTTAAAGTTACTTTTACCATCATTATTATTTTTATAACACAGTCACTGACTGACAGTTACTGATTGACAGAGTAGCTAATCATAAAGTAAAAAGGAAACCAAACCCATTTACGATGAACACCAATATAACACTCCGGCTACATTAGGATAATTTAGACATGCAGAAAACAGTAGTCGCCAAAAAGCGGTTTCTAAATTGCACTCGTGTTCGTAAATTACCGTCGCGTTTTATGACAGCGTATACATTTTTTTTTAATGCATGGCCTTGGCTTCTTTGCTAGATCGATAAATTCTATTTGTTCCTGGCTTCCTGACATGAAGGGGAAGATCGGCAGAAATACCCGATAAATAAAAGCATTGTTAAAGAAATCCTTAATACTCCTGCACAAACATTTTTTGAGCCAGAAAGCAGGGGAAGCCTAGCTTCATTTTGTGATCCATATAGTCCCCTGAATGGTGTTCTGAAAATCCAATCTCTTGTGAACATTTATGTCACTCGTCTATTCTGTTTCTGAGCTAAGAAAGCGCCCGTTTTTTTCCTGTTCAAGTTCTCTTACTCATTATCTAGTTTCCTTCACGTTTTTCGTTGGAATGGAGTCAAGTTCATCGCAGTCACACCCCTACACTCGTCTACATCTAGCAATTGTATGCAATACACCGTCACAGCATTTCCACCACCTAGAAAATTTGTCATGGTTCTTCAGGATTGATAGCTATGGGTTGCTGAGTTCAGGGTTTACGTTTTTAGAGCTTTTCCTTATCCTGGACATAACAGTGTCCACCAGAAACTGGATGAATTCGCAGAGCGTCAGTAAACTACATCCAAGAAGTAATCCCATGTTTCCACCAAGTTCTCCTAAACGATAACATTTAAACAAGGTTTTACATTTCGAAAGTACCACTATTACAATAATAATAATAATAACAACGAATATTTAAACAGGATGACTCATGTCAGTGTATTCAACACTGTTATCAGAGGGCCTGTAAAATAAACTATAGTGAAAATAAGGTAAAAAAAAAAGGTAATAGAAATCTTGAAGTTATGGATCTCAATTCGATAGACAAATTCGGCTAACACGTGACATTGAATTGGGTGTTTACATTGCGTGAAAAGGAGGCTCCCTTAACATTTTCTTTATTATTACAGCCGCATGTATTTGTTGAGTTAATCACGTGCGTTGCTGTAGTTGTTTATTCAATAAAGAATAGAAATGGTCAAAATCTCGAGAAATTTTCCAAAATTTGGGTCAACGAACATGGTCTTCGTGGCTCGAGCAAGGCGGAAAAAAGAATGCTGGAGAGAAAAGCTATAAGTTCTTTCGGGAAGGGTATGTTGACGATGTTT